ACTTAATTAATCAAATCATATTAGATTATTTATCATTGATTAAATATCAATCGATTGAGCATAGTGACTTTTTATAATTACTTTTTTTTATTACGTATTATTATTAAGGTTTTTTTTTTATTTGTAATCAATGTCTTTAATTTTATCACAGGAGGATTATAATCATATTTAGAATATAATAGAAAATAAATATTATTCTGAGACCAAGTCTCCTTAGAATAACAATAATGAAAAAATACATATTTGACCAAAAATTAAATTAATAAAGATTCTAATAACATGCACAATAATTTAAATAATAATTGGTAATTGGTTGACTGTCGTGGATAATGAAGAGAAGAATAGTTGGGGTGGTCAGTCAAAAAAGAAGGCAAAAATAAATGATAATATTTATTTTTACATATGCCGACGTTTCGACCTGAAGTTCAGGCCTTCATCAGGGCTAAGAAAATAACCAGATAAAAAGGTACGAGAAACATAAAAATAATAATAATAAATAAAAATTAAAATTAAAAAAATTAAATAAATAAATATAAAGTAAAATGAAATTGTTAGAATAATGACTAAGAACTAAGACTTTATAGACTTTACAATATCTCAATTTTCTATCTAACTACTCCATTCTCAATGTTTTAATTTTACTATTTATTTTCATTTCTTATATAACTTCGTATTTCTTTTATGTTTTACATTTTATTCTAAGATTCCCATTGTAATACTTATGTCACCCTTTTTTATTATGCCTACTTCATCATTCCACACTTTGTAACGGTTATTATTATTTATCTCTTAGTTCTTAGTCATTATTCTAACAATTTCATTTTACTTTATATTTATTTATTTTATTTTTTTAATTTTTATTCTTTATTATTTTTTATTTATTTTTTTACCATCTCTACTTATGTTTCTCATACCTTGTTATCTGGTTATTTTCTTAGCCCTGATGAAGGCCTGAACTTCAGGTCGAAAAGTCGGCATATGTAAAAATAAATATTATCATTTATTTTTGCCTTCCTTTTTGACTGACCACCCCAACTATTCTTCTCTTCAACTTAAATAATAGTATCTAACAACTAAAAAAATCAAAGATACTTATAATTGTAGTGGGAACAAAATTAATAAATAAACAAAAATATTACATATATAGAAAGAAAAAGCAAAACCTCCAGAAAATAAAAAATGTCAAAAGTACTGACTTTTTATATTAAAATATAAATATTTAAAACATAAAAATATATACATAGCTTAAAGGTGTGTTAATGCAAGCAGATGAGCAATGGGATCACAATATTGCACTATCGCGGCTTAAGAGAAATAAAATAATAATAAGTAATTAAATACAATTGGAAAGGGGTATTAAATTAATTTTATGATAAAAACATTGCAGCGACAAAAGAAGAGAAAGAATTAACCTAAATGAATGTATATAAATTTTAAATAAAAGTAAATAAAAAAATATATTAAAAAAATTCTACAGACATTTGGTTTATTATTTTCTATATTATATGTATCTTTGCTCAATAGATAACGTTTATTTTTTTTTTTTTTAACTGTAGAATGGTTTTTATACAACTTGCCATACGCTTTCTCCTTGAAGTAACTATCTATGTACATAATTATGTCACTCAGAAAAATAATAATGTTATAAAATAAAGATAACTTTATTTGTGTGGATCTCAGAAAGTCCTTAAACTTCTTACGATACGAAAAATCATCGTCGAAATCCGAGTATTATTAAGATTCAACCTATTGGAATTTGTCCGCTTGGTGTAATTTATTTTTTCTATAATGAACCTTTGTAATTTACGAAAATATATATATTTGTTTTCTGATTATATCTCTATATAATAGGAATACGTATCTATATCCCGGCGTTAAATAACGTCATGTTACATTTTTGTATCTGTTCCTGGAACCAGTTTTCTATAACTCTGAACTATTAAAATTTATTTCTTAGTATCTAAATTATTAACTAAATCAAGGGAAATTTAAAAACTCTTTTCTTTTATTTCTTTTTTAAAGTTAACAGTTTTTTTTTCAAGAAAAAATCTGATTGGCTTAGATATAAATTATTATGAATTTATTTTAATGAATATTTAATAGTTGACCGTTGCATTATAAAGGAAGGAGATGGTCCGGGGTGGCGGTCATATATAGGCTAAATAGTGGTAAAACTATTTTATTAAAAACCAACGTTTCGACCCGACTTTGCAGGTCTTCTTCAGAGAGGTGTGTTCAGCTAGGAGTTTGTAAGCGAAAGTCGGGTCGAAACGTCGGCTTTCAATAAAATAGTTTTACCACTATTTAGTCTATTTATGACCGCCACCCCGGACCATCTATTTCCTTTAAATTTATTTTACGTTGTATCACTTATTTTTTTTTTTAATGGTGTTCAAATTATGTTATTTCAAATGACATCCCTAATGTTTATATTTATTTTTTTCCCATTTTCATCCCATCGTGCGTCAATTATACAACACTTCATTATTATTTTTTTCTTAATTTTTCTCAATTTTTTTTATACTTCTACAACTCGCTACACGAGTTGAGAATAACTGATTCGACTAAAAAAAAAAAAAAAAAATCAGAGACACACTTTATATTAAGACGTGGCTTCCATACAATATGAGCCTATTCATATATGTGTCTATATATAAACAGAGACATATTACAGATGCCTGAAGAACACGTGGCACATATTTTGTTATTGGGATGCCACGTCGCAATAAGGCTTGATACTCTTGGCCTGGAATACCTGAGGTTTGCTAACACCTGCGCAATATATCATTAACCTCCGAGTTTTCCTTCTTGGTCCCAGACTGACCGCGGTGGAATCAAGCCGTTGTACGGTGGAACTTGGAACTCGGAAGGTCGGCAATTAGTGTTGGGGACCCAGATCGCATAAATCTCTCTGTAGCTAACTCTAATTGTAAACGTAATCAACGGCCTAACACCGCTTAAGTAATAATTTACCAACCCTTGTCAGCTGGTCTTTAGCAGCTAAATAGCCAATGAAGTCCGGCCTCTGTTTGTTGAATATATTTGTTTTCTCTAAGCTGTAAAAATAATTATTATTATTATTACCAATTACTCATTAAATTTATATTTAAATTTATTAAAGGTAAATCATTTATTTATTTTTAAATGCTTCTATGCCTTAAGAAGATCTTAAGTATTGATTTTTTGCTATTTTTTTATAAGATTAAGCCAATTTTAAATATAAACTTATAATAATAATAGAAGGCTTAGCGAAGGTTCGATGCCGACACCACCAATCGCTTATTACACACCTCCCTCCACCGTTCGCCGTCCAAACCCAGTCCCTTCAGATCGGCTTTAATGCAATCTTCCAACCTTCGCTTCGGTCTACCCCTCGGACGTTTACCATTTGGTTCAGCAAATATTAACCTTTTAGGAATTCTCTCGTTACTAAGACCAACAATTTTACAAGCCCATTTGATTCGCCGCGATGAAATTACCTCAATTATATTACCCGGATACAGTTCACGCAATTCGGCGTTGTGTAACCGTCTGAACTCTCCGGTTAACTCATCCTTCTTCGGTCCGAATATTCTAGGCAATAATTTATTTTTCAAAAACCTTAAGACGCTGCTCATCCCTTAATGTAAGCGTATTTATAGATTCTGATTTTTAAGTTGCGGGACAAGAGGCGCGAGCTAACTAGTTTTGTCACAGAAAAATAACAAGCATTTCCCGCCTTCAGTTTAACCTTAATCTCTTCTTGAATTTCGTTTTTTCTAGTTATCATAGATCCTAGATACCTTAACTTCTCTACCTGTTCAAACATATTACCATCTATATCGATATCACCAGTAGTATCGCCATTTTTGCCCATTTCGAGCCCTAGTTCTTTACCGGCTTTCATTAACGTTGACGTATTTAGTTTTATAGTTTCCACTTCTTCGCTTAACAGTACCAGATCATCAGCATAGCCCAGCACGGGTGTTGTCCCACCCAGATCCAACCCTTTTTCGGTACGCATTTCCTTCCTAATGCGTATTTTCTAATGCCGAAAATATAAACTTAGGTTATATTTCAGGCATTAAAATAAACTATATTTATATATCGACGGCTTACTTCTAAAACCTTACAAGACAAATTCACTAAAATTTTAAATCATTTAAAAGTTAACAATATAGAGAATAGTCACAACGAAAAGAATTCATTCACCCAATATTTTCACAAAATATATATAAATGTAAAATACCTAAAATAATAATATTGAAAAAAAACTAAACAAAAAAATTTAACGATATCTATATTTCAATACGTATAAGGTCTGATGTTATATTTTCAATATTCTCAAGAATTTTTTAATAGATGAAAATAAAAAATATTTATCTTTCTATGGGATATAAATATTGAGGACGGAGTCATTATAAATTCTTTTTTAGTGCCGACGTTTCAACCCAAACATGTGGGTCATCCAGTACTGGATACCTTCAGCAGCACTTGAATATCTTCAGTGCTCGAACCATGCCCTGATGATGACCCACATGTTTGGGTTGAAACGTCGGCACTAAAAAAAAATTTATAATTAATACGTCCTGAATATTTATCATCTATGATATGTAGAACAGTATTTACCTGTAACTTCCTTTTTTTATCTTTCTATATTACAAATATATTTTTTTCATTTCTTGTTTAACAATTGTATTCATTTTTTTTTAACAATATATATAAATATAATTTTTAAAGGTTTTTAAGTATTAAATAAAAGTTTATATATACTTATATATATAATCCAGTAATATATAATATGTTGGTACATTGAAATGCCACATCATTTCAATTAGAAGTACATGTCTTATTTAAAAATTTCTCACAACTTTTCTTGATTTTAAGTTATTTATGAACATGAAATACACTATATCTTTTTTAAAAAAATATACAAGAAAATCATTGTCGGAATTAAGACATTAAATACAGGAACAAGAGAATCACATTCCCTATAATTTAATTTATTCATAGACTTCTAGATGGGCGAGTACAATCGTTTGTCATAAGTCGAGTCCCGGCCAATAAGCCCGCTGCTAAAGACAATTTTATCTTCCCATTGTCTTTTTGGACCAAGAGGGGAGAGAAGGGACTAATTAGATGCTATTGTAGGGATGATTTAATACGCCATTGTTATATCTCGGTTGGCCATTTCGCACTTTGTCACTCTACTCAAGAAAACAGTTAGGTATGATCTGACATCTCTGTCAGTCCTTTGTATCTCCACTTGTCTGTATCGTATGTAACACTTGACATTAAGATATTAAAATTATTATATATATATATATATATATATATATATATATATATATATATATATAGAGAGAGAGAGAGAGAGAGAGAGAGAGAGAGAGAGAGAGAGATCTGGTTGCAATGGTTACCAATTCACTGACTATTCGAATCTTTTTCCCTACCGTATACAAAATAATTCATAATTCCTCAGGATTTTCTCCTAATTCCTTGATTCAATAACCGTTTGAAAGCTGAGTTGCTGCTCTTCAAAAACCATAGCAAAAACTTTTAGATTTAATGCCTTCTCCTAATGCGTTTTCATTTATTATCTCTAGTTCTAATATGCTCACGGGGGTACGGTTTGTTGCAATTTGTGCAAATAAAGTGGTTCCAAATCCCTGTTTATTTTCGTGTTTATAGGTGGAGCCATGATTAAGTTATCACACTCTTTGTGGATACAAAATTGAAGGTCCCACCCTTGACGAAAATTTGAATTTTTTTTTTTTTTTTTAAATAATTTCTAAAGTACAATGTAATTACGAATGTTTATTTATTTTATTTTTTTGGTGTTTCTAGATATATTTTGTACCCTAAATAATAATTTTCAACCTCTTGAAATATACACATATAAGTGTGTCTGTATGGAGCATTTAGACAGGTTTTTTTTTTTTTTTTTGTCTATTAAATATGTATTTGCGCCTGTCAACAATAAGTTAATTTAATTTTTAATTTCAAAATGTTCCTCACACACAATTATATGTATATATTTCAAGTGGTAAAAAATATTATTTCAGGTTACAAAATATGTATATATATATATATATATATATATATATATATTATATATATATATATATATATATATATATATATATATACATATATATATATATATATATATATATATATATATATATATATATATATATATATATATACACCACCTGATCAATGCAGTGTTAAACCAAACAAGTTAAATAAGGGGTTGCCTGGTGCTAAAAGAGGGTTGCAAGCCCGACACTTCATTCCTTTCAACCGCGTGTTAACACCCTCGTGTGAGCCATCTAAGAAGAATTCGATTTATCTCTCTGGACCAATCAACGAAGGAATTTCAATTCGACTCACTATCGATTCAACTGGAACCGGATAGCATTGAATCAAATTTAATTCGAGATAATCGTTTATGTTAATTGTCATGAATGGTTATAAAAAAGAACAGCTGAAGTACAAGCGATCAGCTGTTGTGCTTTTATTGAATTAAAATTAATTATAAATGTAAAGTTTAAATTAGTCATTATTTTTGGTCAGTAAATAAATGACAATACATTATGGATATAAATAAATACAAACTATTATGAGAGGGATGAATTAATTTCGGCATAAAATAACTTAATATTTTGAAAATTTCTGTTAAGAAATACATAAAAATAAATAACTTCACTGTTATTATTGTTGTAGGCACATATTATTCCTAAGTCTATTATCAATTTGTGTTAAACCACGTTTACATATTACCCAAACCATGACAAGTATTTATGAGTGTGCTCAGATATTTCAGAAGAAAACAAATTATGAAAATTCTTCGTGGTATGAATCGAACTTTCATAAAATGACACGAGCATTTCTAATTCGACTAGTTTACTCATTAACGAAAGAAAGCAATTGGAAAGGGGGACTCCAGGAAATACTTGTCATAATATTTAAGTATTTGGAAATATAAAAAAAAATTAGATTTCGATTGGAACAAATAATTTCTAATATACTTGTTCCTATAACAGATAAAGAAAAAAAAATAAAATATACTAATTCTCTAGGTATGGATGAGATTCGATTTACACAAAATAAATACCAGCTTGAGTCCTGTATAGAGACCGTACGGTATTCGGAAGATCTCAAATTTCTATAATTTAATGGGGTCCATAATATTTTCCACTATAAAAATGTGTCCGCTAAGAGAAGTTTCACAATATATCAAGTCCCTGTATCCTCGAATAATTGATATTGGATTATGTTTATGGAAAATATCCTTTTCTACGAAAAAAACTGTGCCGACACCTTTTTTAAAAATTATATAAATCCTTCTAAAACTTCTTGAATTGCTTCATCTTATCATAACCTATACCTTTCTTTATACAAGGAAATTCTCGGAAATAGGTTATTTTCAATCTGGAGATCAGTAAAATCCGTCTAGTTAATGATTTATTAAAACTCATGAATACCAATTCGCTTTCCACTTGAATCGTAAGAGAATTTGATTACAAAATCGAAAAATAAAGTGGTCTACAAAAATATTCGGGCGTTTGGCGTGACCTCCAAACCCTATAATCCCTAATTCCTTCAAACAATTCCTCCACCAACTACACATTCAAACTTCCGTAAGCTTGTAAGAATTTTTAGATTATGTAATTAAAATTGCTTGCCAACAATTAATTGATAAGAGCTATTTATTTTTTCTCTCAATATTTTTTGTATATAATTGTATTTATGTTAAGTTTCTTGCATATATTTATATCATAACTACATGCCAGACTGATAAATATATTTGTATTCTAAGGGGACTTGAGAAGAAGTAAATGGATATTGATGAGTCTTTAGTAACTCGTTCGATTCATCGATTTAATGAAACAATTTTTATGCGGACGTTAGTAATTTGATAAAGAGGATTCTGAGTTCTATTTCGAAGCTCTTAAAACATTAAAGGAAAAAAAGGATAGGCAGGACTTAAGTAATTTTTTTTTTTTTTTTTTTTGTTCTTCCCTACCTCGCCGTTTAGGCTATACGGGATTTTCCCGGGCCGGAGGGTGAGGGCGGGAAATTTAAAATCCCCTCTAGCTCCGGGACGCGAACTCGTACTTTTCTTGTCTCTCAAATCTTCATATATCTGGTTGCCGGGCAACTCGCGGTGCTGTGCACACGCTTTAGCCCGTTCGGCCTCCCCGCCCTCTTAAGTAATATTCTGCGTAGTTGCTAGGAATAGATTGCGATCAAACGATAGACTCCGAACTGAATGATGTTTTAGCTCCGAAGGGATTAATTATTCCCCCGTTCGGACGACCAGCTTTTTTTCCTCCGCAGGTCGCTCAGAGCAGCCAGCCATGATGTCCCCGGAATGGGATGATCCAAGATGAGCCCTTGACAATGATCACAGCAACCCCCAGCAGCTGTGCCTTTGTCAATGAATAACCGCATCCCTTCGCTCGATCGTTCCTAATCCACCCGTTCCATGGAGATAACGCATCTCAAAGCTATCATTTCGTTTCGTCTTTTTAACTTTGATTTTTTTTTCTCTACGTTCACAGCTGGGAATCCGTCTTAGTAGAACGATAAAACCCGTGAAGAATGCACTTGTTTGAAAGTACTCGATCCAGATTACGTAAGAAAATCGGAACACTGAATAAATTTCTTCTTCACATCATTGTAGGAATAGTCATCGATAGTAGATCGATGGTATCGAAATATCGATGGTTTCATTCAAAAATATTAAAAATTTAATGCTACTTACGCTAATGATACAATTTTATCAAAACACCACGACCCTAGACCCTAGCCTCACTGAATTTACAAAAAAAAAAAAAAAACGCAGCAAATTATTTCACAATGGTTTATTATTTTCAAACAATTATACATCTAAAATAACATCACCTTACTAGTGACAAAAAAAAAAGGTGATTCCAATTATTGGACTAAACTTTTTTTTTATTAGTAATATGCTAAAAAAATTAGCATTACTATAGCAACACATTCAAAAAATCAAAAACCGAAACAAAGGATATATCCTTTGCAATTTAGCATATAAAAAATATCTAGAGACCATATCTTTGATCCTAATTGTCCGATTTTAACTATTTTTTTTTAGGAAATTCTGTAAACTTTTAAATAACCATAACAATGGTTCATTATTGAAAATAACAAACCAAAAATATTTACTATCGGTGCTTTGATTTCGATGAAACTTTTTACGAAATCGATACATTCGTTTAGTTTCGCTACAGTCTTTAGCAACGCAGGTTTTTCGTCCATGTTGAAAGGAAAAGGCTGATAGAAATGCCGATGAAGGATATCCCATCGTTACACCATTTTCGAGAATAAATGGTCTCCCTCTCTTGGGCATCTGATATGCCCCGGGATCTAATGTGACCAAACTTATTTTGAAAGTTATTATTTACTGTTAAGTGGCTTGAAACTTGCTTTCTCTTAGAAATTGTAGTTTAGTATTCTAGTTAAACGATTAAGAGAGAGCATCACGAACTTTTCATAAAGTTATTCATATAGGTTCATACACGATTAGGTTTCTCGGACAAAGTCGGGACTCTATTTAACCTATTCTCTCGCCAGGTGTTCCAAGGATAGTAAACTTATCTTACAACTTTACTCTTGGTTTATTATTTTGAAATATTACATTCCACCGAAGAAAAAAAAATCATTGCTCCTTCTCATAATACATTTAATTTACTTATAGCCATTTTTTCATTTATTTAATGTTTTAAAATAAATAATAAGTTTAATTTTTTTTTCTCGATATGATCAGAATTTTTCTGTCTTCACGAATTCGTGAAATGTTGATACTCTAATTATTTACTGCTATTTTGGACTATAAATTCATTGTTTTTATAATTTTCCAATTATATTCTAAGTTAAATGACTAATCTTAGGCATTGAAGTCTCTTTTTTTCTCTCTTTTTTTTTTACATCAATTTGATTATACGAGTCACTTAGCGGACCATATGCACCAATCAATTAGCGAGGCAGTATGTAAATGTGGGTGGGGCAATAACAAGACCCCTCCCCCAATTCCAGCGCGACCAATCGCCGAATCGAACCGTGACTGTCAGTCCCCTAATAGATCGTGGCATTAGCGCTAATGTTCTGATTGAGCCGATGACTGGCAACACACTGTTTTGTTGTCGCCGTTGCTGAACGACATTGTTGATGTAATCTATCTCCTTTCGATTGTTGCAGGTCCCCGCTCGAGGAGGATAAAGAGGAAGGACAAGAACAAGGAAGACAAGAGGCCACGAACCGCCTTCAGCGGCGAACAGCTGGCCAGGCTAAAGACAGAGTTCAGTATAAACAGGTAAGTTGTATAATAATATATATATAATATACTACTATTGTATATTGTATATTTTAATAATAATACAATATATATATACATATTATGATATTGTAGATACTTTTTCGGCTCTCAGGAGCGATGAATATTGATGAATGAGGTATCAAACGAAACAGAATTTCATGGAGAAGTGATAATTGCCATTTTTAAATTATAAAAAAAAATAAAACTACAATAATATTCATAAAAAAATAATCAGAAGGTTTCAAAACTTTTTAATCTAGTAACGCTCGAGTAAAGTCGGCTGGGGTCGATTAATTGAAGTGTTTTTGCACTTTGCAAGACTAAGACCAAGACCTCCTGACTGTTGCAAGACCAAGACCAAGAATGGTAAAAAAAATCGTTTTCTGAATAAAAATTAAGGCAAAATAGTTACTAATACTATGTAAGAATATGGTACAAACAAAATACTTTTGCATTTAACTCTTCCAATTTTTCATATGGGCTTAGTTAGGTCCCCCATTCATGAAAAATCACAGTAAAATCTCTATAGTAATAAGCTAATATGTAACTGAAAGACTCTTGTGTAAGACCAAGACCAAGATCAAGACTGTGTACGCAAGACAAAGACTCGTCTTGGTCTCACATTCGGACAACACTCGAGTTATAAAAACTTTAGTATTAATAATAGGATAAAATCTAGTCCAAAATATCACACTATTTAGAAACAAATTCGAATTAAGAACTTAAAGGATGTTTGAAAGGAATATGAATTTATTTTATGAGAAAAAAAATTAGCTTGGTCTACTTTATTTGATCCCTGGTTTGGTTTTGTTAATTTATTATACATTTAAATTTATTTAATATATTCAGCAGTATGTTTTTTCATATTTTAACGACAAAAAAAATAGATTGTTATATTATTACCTAAAAGTCCATATAGATTAGATGAAGAAAACAATAATACAACAAATTTCAAATTTTTCGTTTAAGGGAAACTTTATTTAGGCACGTTTCGCATTTTTCTGCAGAGTGAATTAGATTGAGTCGTCAGATTTCCGATGTGAAAAATCGGCTGGAGTGGACTAATTGAAGTGTTTTTGCCTATGGATTAAAATATCTCAAAAACTAAAAATCCGATCTGCATACTGTAAGAGAGGGAACTGTTCACCATTTCATCCTCTTTGTAATGAGATATTATTCAAAATTGTATCTTAACGCAACGGCCTATTAGAGAGGCGAAAAGGAACAAAATGTGTCGAAAGCCAAATGATACCGAGTTTTATTGAAGATATGGATTAAAATATCTCAGAAACTAAAAATCGGATCTGCATACTGAAAGCGAGGGAAATGTTCTGCATTTCATCCTCTTTGTCATGAGCTATTATTAATAATTTATATTTTTTATTATTAATCTCTCCTACTTGGTGTTTTCACTATTATGATGTGGCCTAAAGAACACTCCTTAGTTTTTTTTTTAAATTAAATAATGTTTTATTTTTATCACTTAATCTCTTTTTATTCACACCTGGCACAGATGAGAGTGACAAAGCGTTGATGAATTTGGTTCTGGCATTTCAGGCACGAGGAAGGATAGTTCACTTCAGTACCACTTCCTGGTCATTATTTAGCTTCTTAATTCAGGAATGGAGGTCTCCCATCCATCTCCTTTTTGGTCGACTCCTAATGGGCGAGTTAGCCGTGGAGTATGTCATTTATAAGTCTGTTAATGGTGTATTGTGAAAACGGGAATGAAAAGTACGTATATATTGGCCCATAGTTGATTTTTATAAGATAATATGTATAAATTTAATACATTCACACTGTATTAATTACAAATTCACTACATTCAGGCATCGATTATGGAAATTTCCTAACTTCATTGAACCAGAGTATTTTTCTTCTGAAGAATTCACAAAATAAAAATAATAAAACAACTTTTCACGAAATTTCAAATTAAATTAACCCGGACCAGTAAACTCCTTTCGAAAGGCATGGCGAATGGAAATAACAACTTGAATAAATTGGGCGCAACGAAATCTTTCAGTTAATTTCCCATAAACGCTTTGCTGTTATTGGTCTACAAATATAATCGATTATTAAGCAATCCTCAATAATAATGCAAATTGTGCAAAATATAACCTCTTTGGAGAATTCGGTATAGTTCGAATAATTGTCTATTTATTTTTAGGTTATTTTTTTTTTAAGTATGTGTTAAATTTATTAATTTTTTCTATTTTTTTTTATTTAATGATTAATGTAATATTCAAATCAATAATAATTATAATAAAGTAAAATCACATTCACACGATATGTATACAAAATTTAAAATAAACAAATAAAGAAATTCTTAATTTATTTCTTTAATAAATAATGTATGTAAATTTTTCGCATTTCGGATTCGTTCTGGAAATAATCGACTTAATTTATATTAAAATTTTCAGTTTGTTTATTCTTTTCTTATTGTTTTATTCAATCGTGGAAACTCATACAAAAAGTGCAATAACACAGAAATCTGTATATTTGATTTGCTAAATGAGCTTTATATATCTAAACTTTCGTGATCCCAATATTTGATAACACTCTAAAATAAACTGTTACTTATTTCCATATCGGTTTATTATTTTCAATAATGAACCATTGTAATCGTCCAAAAAAATAAAAAATTTAACCCAATTTGAGCTTTTACGTTTCAGGATACGTAGAATTCGAAAATAAAATAATTAATGTTCGTCCGTCCGTTCTATTCTATTGGACCAACTTTTTTCAAATTTAGATTTAAAGTCACAGCTCACCCGAGAATGATCCCCCTACATCGACATTACTACTCGCCCTTTTTTTCAAGATGGCAGCCGGCCGAAAAACCTATGTTGCTAATGACTGTAGCGCCTAAACGAATGTACTGATTTCAATGAAACTTAGCTAAAGTCCTCTTCTTTAAATTTATCCATACAACATATTTCAATGGAAATAAGCTGGAAAAAAAGGTGTTGTAAAATTAGATTTCCAAATATCTCAAAACATATTTACTTTTCTGTATTTTTTATAATTAGATGTTTCAAAGGTATTTTCCTAAAAAAAGAAGAAAGTTTCATCATTCGAATTTAGAGCACTATTAGTAAAGATATCGCAATTTTTTGTTTTACAAATTAATAGTAAAAAAATAAAAGAATTGTTAATATTCTAAGAGGAAATCCTTTCCCAATATTACACAATTTACAGTGTAATCAACACACAGCTGTTCTGTAATTGTAGTAAATCCTGTTATTATAGTTCACAAGCTTAAATAGGTGATAATATCTTTTATTTACAGAACTATTTTTTCTAACCTTTTACCTGCAATTATTATAGTTAATGTATTAAAGGATACCAGTGCGGCTAATTATAGTTTTAACGACCTCTACGGAACTATCGGGTACTATTGTTCCTTCGTGCTTCTAAAGTACATCGTGCTCTGCGTTCGGAATGCCTCCGTGCACGCCACGCCTTTTCAAGATGTCTCTTAATTCCTCTTATCTCGAAGAGATTTATTCAAATTTTCTCGTTTCGTTTCTATTATCTACGATGTTGCTTAGTCTTGTGGATTCGCGTGTTTGCCACAACTGGCGAAACAACGAGGGATTTTCGGGCTAAAGTCATTCCTACCCCCGAAATAGAAAATTTTATTTGTCACTGGTAAATATTTCTTATTGTGAGTGATATAAGCTAAATTCTTAAATAATAACAATGCATTCTATTTTTAAATTATAAATATAGTTTCGTCTTGTAAAAAAAAAAAGGTGAAAACATCAAAAAGACGAGATTAATAAAATAAAATTTAAATTATAAATAATAGTTCATCATAAAGGGAATGAATTGCTGATCATTTCTCTTGCTTATTATTGTATGCAGGTTCGATTTTTAGTTTCTGAGATATTTTAATCCATATATTGAAATAAAATGATTATAATTTGGTTTTCTACACTATGTTTTCTATTTTCGCCTCTCAAACACGGCCTCGCGTTAAGATAGAATTTTAAATAATAGCTCATTAAAAATAGGATGAATTGTTAAAAATTTTCCTCGCTTTCAGTATGCAGGTCCTATTTTTAGTTTCTGAGATATTTTAATCCATATCTTCAATAAAACTCATTATAATTTGGTTTTCGACACTATGTTTTTCCTTTTCACCTCTCTAATATGGCGTCACGTTAAGATACAATTTCGAATCATAGTTCGTTACAGAGAGGATGAAATGCTGAACATTTCACTCTCTTACAGTATGCAGGTCCGATTTTTAGTTTCTGAGATATATTATTTATATATTCAATAAAATTCATTATAATTTGGTTTTCAGCACTATTTTTTTCCTTTTCGTCTCTCTAAACCAGCGTTGCGTTAAGATAGAATTTTGAATAATACCCCATTAAAAATAGGATGAAATACTGAACATTTCTCTCGCTTCCGATATGCAGGTCCAATTTTTAGTTTTTGAGATATTATGGCTCAATCTAATTCACTCTCCATAAAATAAGTGCAAAACTTGCCTAAGGATATTTTCACTTAAAAAATTATCTCTAAAACATGTGATTACATTATTAATTTGACTTCACGAATCACTTAAACACTATTTCATACAGTTAATTAGTTTCTTTCTTTATCTTCCAAAAAAATTTTACTGAAGCTCTCCTAAAATTAAATCTGTGAACCACTAGTGTTTGCCACTAGCTAAAATTGTTTGAGAATTTTTTGCTTCTGTATTTGAAGTTTGTATTAAACAGTAGTTGAAACGTTACCAACAGCAAAAATCTTATATTAACAGCGCTCTGAATATTTATCACCTATGATATATAGAACAGTTGACTGACTTCCTTCAATAAAACTAATACAAACAATATCCAAAAATTTAGGTGAGTTTTAAAAGAGAGTTTTTGAGTAAATGTGTAATTATTCACTTCAGTGACGTACTAAATATAATTATTAAAATTCCATATCTGTTTTAACTGCGGACGTCTCTGTCATTTATTCGTGGGCTGAGTGAATTCATTTAAATATTTAATAAGATGTAACGTTGTTAGCAACATGAGTACAACGCTCTTCGCTCTTATCCCACGCAACTTCAACGCTCAAATATAATACAATGAGTTGATTAAACTTAACACCTCGAGTTTAATTTTTATATTATAATTTTTCTTGTAGTCTTATTGTAACTTTAATAACAATTTTAATAATATTTATACTATCATCATGGATATCATTCTCATTAAGCGTTAAAAGATTATAGAGAGAAACACTTTATTTTCATAAAATATAAAATATAAAGGATTGTTGCCCAATTATATTAGGTTGCTATACACACAACATACTCTTCTATCCTTAGGACAATATATGAACTTATACATAAATATACAGAAGTCTTACTTAATATTAGTAAAATATATATATATATATATATATATATATATATATATATATATATATATATATATATATATATATATATATATAGTTTCCCTTTCTCTCACTTCTCTCTCTTTATCTCTATTGTTTTCAATTATTCATTAAATAAATAAATAAATACATAAATTAAAACTCTCGGGCTAGCCATGCACGTGGTGGTGAATGATTCCCAGGGAGTCGAGGACTATATTTTCAGCCAACCTCGCTACGTCCTTAATGTCAACACCTAGTTCCTCGAGGAAGCTCCTTGTTCTTTTTGGGATAGTTCCGCGAGACCAAAACCAGAGGCCTCTCACGGTGAACTTTCTATCTCCGTAATGGTTATATTTATGAGCATATAATGCACAGGGACAAACGTTTTAGTATATTGTATTCGATTAGTGTTGCCCAAATGCGAGACCCAGACGAGTCTTGGTCTTGCAAACTCAGTCTGGTCATGGTCTTGGTCTTGCACAAGAGTCTCGCAACAGTCTTACAGTACTGTATTTTGTAGATAGGAGAAATCTAACTAAGCCTGAATGAAAAATTAGAGGAATTAAATGCAAAACTATATTGGTTATACCAATTATTTACATATAGTAACTAAGATTGTCGAGTATTAGTAACTATTTTGCCTTAATTTTTTATTAAAAACATCGATTTTTTTTACCAGTCCTGGTCTTGGTCTTGCAACAGTTAGGCGGCCTTGGTCTTGGTCTTGCAAAGTGCAAGACCAAGACCGATTTTGGGCAACACTATATTCGATAAATGAAAACACTGTTTTCTCCTACTGATCATATTTTGTAAAATTGCTGCGGAAACTAATATATACTTATATAGGAAAAGTATTAATTAATCTGAAAATCGGTAACTTTGTTTATTTAATTAGGTGATCAAAATTTATGAACACCCATTTGCTTTCCACTTTCATCGTAAGATAATTTGATCACGAAATCGAAAAAAAAATATAGGACCGTTTGGTGTTAATTGCACTTCTAACAAGTCAAAATCTCGAGGATATATAGGTCAAGCGGCATATGTTTGTAGGCCACATTTTTTCTATATTTTTTCATCAAATCATCTTACGATATAAGTGGAAATAAATGAGCATTCACGTGTTTTTATTACCTCATTAAATTAGATAAAAATTAAATTAAAAAATATTTTTTTTTTTTATTTAAAACTTATTTCAACAGAAAAAAAATAATTAAAAAAATAAACATATGGTTAGATAATTGGAATTTGATTGCTTATACATCCATAAATTTGAAAATAAAATAAAATATCTCTAAATGACGAATAAAATAAGTATGTCACCAATCAAATAAACAGTTAGGAAATTGAGTTCCAAACATAAAAGAAATGTTATTTTCCTCTTGAAATTCTTTAAGATATGAAACGTTTTTCTAAAATATGTGTTATTGTCAATAATAAACTGTAATAGACCGATAAAATACTTACAATAAACGACATGTTTGAAATAAGCGGATATGATATGGGAGCGGGTCAGAGAGAGACAAACCCAGGCTATTGAATTTCAACCACAAACCACATCAAGTGTAAACAGGTAGGGCCACACGCAGTTCTCTACCTCTTCTGTCTTTTATACCTTGTACATATATTTCATTATTATACTTATTTATATATCTTATTATTATTAAATTTATTAAACTACTTTACCCAAGAAAAAATTTCACAACAGATAGCCTTTCTACTAATGCATGACATATAAACGGTATTAGAAAAATATATAAACATGTTTCTTTCTATATAATTATATAATATTATCAAGATGGTCTATTCGAAACATACCAGTAATGGACATAGCTAAGGATGTTTATGTTGGCTTATGCCGCCGTAATTATTATAGTTATGAACTTCTCCGTTTGACGTTTAGAATCTCTAGTCTATCCTTTTTCTATTTAACATTTTAAAATCCAATAAATATTTAGTAATGCAGGTATATTCACCATTTAAAAAAATACCTTTTTGCACTAGTGATCGACAAGCCAAAATTAAATTATTCTAGGTGGTCGGTACCGTACAAGTAAAAGATATAACTCAGAAAAAATGTAAAATTATTTATTTAACTATAAAGATGAGATAACAATAATGTACAACTTACTCTTAGAATAGAATAGAAAAAAAAAACAAAAAAAAAAATTAAATGAACACAAGATCTTCTCAAAATTACTTATTATTTTGATGGAAAAAAAAATTACATATATACATAACTACACAATTTATAAACAATTGGCTAACTAATAAAAAATTAACTTAATACAAAATGTAATGATATCTGCAGTGATTCATAAAATATGCAAACACTAAGAGAAATAAAAATAAAATCTCAGTATTACTTGTAGTGTAATAGAAAAAAAGAACTATATATACAAACATACTCATGATGGTACACAGAGAGACAAAAAATTTAACGTGGATAAATAAAAATAAATAAATAAAACAATAATATAATAAGAAAACAAAAGTAATAACAGATTACTTAATAACTTTGTTACGCGGTATAAGATATAAAACTATAGTCAACCAACGCTGATTTTTACTAAATTTGTCAAAAACTGAGACAAATTACTATAAATGGCCCTGTGACTTGGAAATTAGTTTCTTAAGAGGAAAAATCCATAAAGACGAAGTTGTAGAGCATCAAATTTGCGTCTACTGATTACCAATTATTTTAATGTGGGCCACTTATTCCGTACAAAATCGATAATCTCTCGATGGTAAGAAATAGGTAATGAAGGTATAAGTGATTTTCTAATAAGTACTTGAAGGTATTATATATTGGTATATAATATTGTGTACTGCCTAATAGTGTTGCCCAAAATCGGTCTTGGTCTTGCACTTTGCAAGACCAAGACAAACACCGCCTATGTGTTGCAAGACCAAGACCAAAACTGGTAAAAAAAAATGTAACACTTCTAATGTTTCATTTAGACTTAGTTAGGTTTCTCATATCTAAAAATTACAGTTATATCTCTCTAATAATAAGCTAATAGGTAACTGCAAGACTGTTTCGAGAGTCTTGCGCAAGACCAAGACTGAGTTTGCAAGACTCGTCTCGGTCTCGCATTTGGGCTACGCTACTTCCTAAACGATCTCCTAATATGATAACGGAAATGCGTCACTCCAGCCGACCGTCTCAGGAAGTAGTTCATCTTGTAAGAATTTAAGGATTCAAATTATGATTCATCAATTTTCCATGAAATTTCTTTTCGTTTGATGATTAATCAAAATCAAAATGAGAGACGGAAAAGAGATTTAAACAAACGTTATATATATATATATATATATATATATATATATATATATATATATATAGTTTAGATTTTTTTATTTACGTTACTTCCTCGCTTGACTTTAACCATCCATTCCTTTGCAGGTACCTGACGGAGAGAAGACGACAAGCCTTGGCTTCCGAGCTGGGCCTGAACGAGGCGCAGATCAAGATCTGGTTCCAGAACAAGAGGGCGAAGATCAAGAAGGCCTCTGGTAACAGGAACCCTCTGGCTCTTCAGCTGATGGCACAGGGCCTCTACAACCACTCCACGGTACCAATGTCCGACGAGGAGTGCGACGAGAACACCGCCTCCAACGGTCGCTAGGATATCCTCAAGATCGGATCTGGAAGGATATACCGAAGTCCGCCGAATGTCTTAGGCGTCCTCAGATAGCTTCAAGCCGTAGGATTGTATTTTATACTTAATTGTAAAAGTCAATATATTAAAATATTGTCATAATATTAATTACGAGACATTGGGAAGATATTTAACAGACTGGAACCAATCCACATTGTATGTAGAAATGCATTTGCATCCACACTTTAAGATAAATCAATTTGGTACTTACATAAATTGGTACTACTAAATAAATGTCAATCCACTTTCATTACAAGTGGTACAAGATCTCAAGATCACATCATAAATGGTGAGAGTATCTAGCGAGTCGAACGTTCATTTCAAAAAAGTTTCATAGAAACTGTTGAAATGGATCTTTTTAAAAACGTTTCAACTCCTGCTCTGAAAACCTTCTCTATCCTCGGATATTCTCGTAATCTCATTTATAGCGTGATCGTGGGATCTTGGCCCACTTAAAGTGGAGTGATACTCATATAATGGTATTCATAAGTTTTCAATTTTTATTTGTTAGAAAGTGAATATTAAGTTACATCAAAAGCAAAAAAAAAAAAAGTATATATATATATATATATCAATAGCGGATCCAGGATTTAATTTGGGGAGTGGCTTCGGCCTTTTTTTTCCATAAAAATAACGATAATTACTTTCGAAAAACAGAAAGAAACTAACTACCTATAAGAAATGGTGTTTAAGTGATTCCTTAAGTCCTTTTAAATGTAATTAAACGAACAATAATACTTTAAGAGGTATTTTAAAAAAAAAAATTTCCATAAAAATGGTTATTTTTTACCATTTTGGGAGGAGCTTCAGACCGAAAGCTCCCCCCTCTCTCGTAGCTCGTATATATATATATATATATATATATATATATATATATATATATATATATATATATAAAAACCTATTCGAAAACACCTCTAACTCATTTTTCTTTATTTTGTGGATTGGTTTCGTTCTGCTTGATATCGTTCAATCAATCATTTCTAGCTTCGAAACGCCAATACTTCTGTTATTCCCTAAAATACAATAGATAAGTGATGTAAAAATTATAGATGGTGTATTAATGTAAAACAATTAATTAATCTGTTGAAAATTTAGATTTTTTTTACGATCGCAATGCTTCCCTCCTATCTTATTTGATATAAGGTATGAGAATGTAAAATTATTTCTTCTTTTATAATTACTTCTTATATTATTGATAGAAATTTTTATACTACAGGAAAGTATCTTTTCAAATACAATTAAAATTAATACATTATATTGTAATTTATTTATTTATTTAAAATATAACAGTGTAAGTTTGAAAAATTGTATATCTGGAATGTTTCAAAAGTATTTTGTGTCGACGGGAAAGCTATCTGAGGACGATGGGAGAAATGTGTGAATTCAGAATTATGTCGAGATCTCAAAAGATTCCTTTAGCACTAGGGATCAGCAATACTCAAACATGTATTTTTTATAAATTAGTATATATATGATCTTAGGAATATGGAAATATTCGATTGTCTATATATTATTTTTTTCTCTGTGAAATGTTTAGTGTAAAAATAATCGTGTGTATTTATGAATATGTTGTAAGTTGTATTATATAAATATCATTAGATATGCTACGTTTCCAGGAGAATCGTCCAATATAGTGTAACTAGATTTTTTTTAGAAAATAGATTTTTTTTTCTGTTCAAGTAACGAAGAGGTCTATTAATCAATAATTGTTTTGTTTTTTTAAATAAACAATTATGGATTAATTTTTTTTTAATATTGGCCTTTTTGTGGCTGAATAGATTGTAAGCGTGTTCAATAGATTATGATTAAATATGTATAAAAATAATCCAGAAAGCTTGAGAACTGTGAGTTAATAAGCCGGTAGTGAAAACGTTTACATTAAAATAAAAAATCATAAAATAATAAATAAAAAAAAATATGAACAGGAAACTTAGCAGGTTTATTGTGAATAACAAATTGTATATAACTGTAAACATATATTTGAATGATTGTATGAAACAAAAATCTATAAAAAAAATATTATAAATTGAAAACCTACCTTTAAGTTCAGCAAATTATAATTTTAAGCTTTGACAGAAGGTATGGAAAAAAAATTAATGTAAATAAAATATTGAGTATCATTAACGATACTAAGACTAGTCAGTGTGTATATATATAAAAATTATTGTAAATAATATGGTACATTATAATTATTTGTTGATTTGTTTCCTTGACTGATGCCATTGATGCCATACTGCAAAAATTATAAATATGATTGCTTCAGTTAATTTTTTTACATATAGACGTATTTAAATTATATATATGAAAATAAATATATATATGTATGGTTGAAATATATTTGGTTTTTATTTATTTTTCATCCTTGATATCAAAAACTTAATTTTAAACATGACACATACCTTTGAGGCACAATTTTGAAAAAAGTGCTATTTAGTTTATCAAATATAAAATTCACAGTAATGGTCTTTTCTGTTGTTACTAATTATACCAATAAACAACTGAGGAATGTTACGAACAAATTTCTACAATTCTAAGTCAAGTAGAAGACATTTATAGAACGAAATATAGTTTTTATTTCAGAATAGTTTCATAAATCACTTCATTTAAAAAGATATATATTGAAATCCTTGCCTTTTTATATTTAAACTGGCTTGCTATGATTCAATAGTATAAATAAATTCTGATTAAATACTACAATTGTAGTCGGGACGTCAGCAGCAATGATATTGCCAAGAATGACTTGGGCGTGGAATTTTAAAAATCAATTATGTTATTATAGTTAACAATATATTGAATAATTATGAACACAATTATTACATTATAAATAACTGACAAGTCAATTAAGCTAATTAGATGGTGAATTCTTTATTTATTTTTTTGGTTGCTGCCACTTGTATAACTCTTCAAATATTTAATTAAAAAAATAAGTAAACATTAAATATACATGCATACGGTAACCAGAAATTCTTCAGATATGGCTGGTTTGGTTGACCATTAAAGAAATAAAAAAACCTGTACCACTACAACCCATGAAGAGTCTGGGGTTCAGTACTATTTAGGAAAAGCACTGTTTCTAGGTCAACAGTTGTGCAAGGAGGTGATTTGACCGAGATCCCACTCAACCGCCAGGTTTTTCCCCTTAATCAATTTTTTAATTAAGGGTACCCACTATATAGAGGCTGGGTGTGCCCCAAGAGGGTCTATCGACCCAGGGTCGCCCCACGGCCAATGAAACAGATAAATAAATTTTCTGCCATGAGGCGGGATTCGAACCTGGGACCTTTGCACAGTGCCCTATCTACCACTGAGCTGCCCCAATCCCATTAAAGAAATATAAACATTAAATTATAAGAATTTTGTTTTCAATTTCAAAAACATAATTTCTCCTTAGCGATTTGTATTTAAGTTTAGAAACATATGTTTCATATTAAAACTATAGTAAATTTTGTGTGCTTTAATATTTAATTTAAAAATTCGAGCGACGTCAACTAGGAAAACAGATAGTCAGTTGCAAACAAAAATTATGCATACTTTTTTGCTAATTGTCAAACATTTACGCTTATTGAAAGCTCGATAGTTTGCTTCCTGTTGGGTTTAGAAATTTTTTTTTACAAAAATGCTAGATAATTTTAAGCTGTTTAAGATTGATTATGAACATTTTTTAGTTATGTTACTTTTAAAACGAGATATTTATCGTAACCCTAAAAAACGCAGTAATTTAAATGGTTTTACAGCACTGCGGCGAATCCACAAGGTTTACAACGTCGAAAAAACTTAAGATTTTTACTTAAGGGTAAGTATTACGATCGCAAAAATTTTCGAATATGTTTTCAACGGATATAAACGTTTAGAGGTCCCCTGAGTCCAAATAACCAAGTCCCACAAAATGGTCAATGTATGTATGTATGTGAACAGCCTAGTTCAAAAACGAAAAGTCATAAGAAACTAAAATCACGTATTTGAGGTTTTTATAAGCCTGAGATGTTAGAGCAACATTTTCGTCAAAATCAGCAAATCGGAAGTGGTATTTTATATAATCGATTATATAACACATCTTTACGATTTTATCAAAAACGGCTCCAATGATTTGAAAATATGAAAATACTTATTTTTGCTAAGAGAGTGGTCAATGAAAGCCATGTGATACGCGCATTAGATTTTTTATATTTACTACAAACTTAACAATATAAGAAAAGAAGATGGACCTGGGATCTCCTAACTATTAGAGTACTAATAATATACTAATATACACTAACAGTGGGCAATTCCTCAACAAGTATAAATAAATAAAAGAATAAAAAAAATACTGATACCATTTAAGTCATTTCAGGGCTACAGATAAATTTGAGGTCTATCCTTCCAGTAGCGGATCCAGGATTTAATTTTGGCGGGGGGAGGGGAGCTTCAGCCCGAAAGATTTTTTTTTCCAAATATATAACGATGGTTAAAAAAAAAGAATGAAATTAACAACCTATATGAAATGGTGTTTAAGCGATTCTTTAAGTCATATCAAATGTAATTACACGAACAACATGGTTATATTTTACCGTTTTGGGGGGAGGAGCCTCAGCCCGAAGCTCCCCCCCCCGTAGATCCGCTTGTGAATCCTTCTATTTTAATTATATTTTTTAAAAATTTTTTTTCAGTCCTAAGAGAGAGTTATTACAGAGATGTTTGGTATTTGTTAAATAAAATAACTTACTTCGTGACAGCTCTTAAAGTCAGTTTACAGTAACTAAATTAGAAGATAGTCTCAGAGATAGTCCCAGGTGTTTTACCTGCTTCGAATGGCGTCATGCTAATATGCGAGTTGTGTCGCTTAAATGTCCCAACCTTTTGTACCTAAACGTGTCTTCTACTCTGTACGCTCTTTACCACACAAAGGAACTCTTGTACGACTGTCGTTTTCAGTGTTAGTCGTCCCAGGACCAAACAGTATCTCCTTGCTAAAATAATTCTGTTTAATATTAATTAACGTTTACACTTTCTATTCCTAACTTTGTTATTTTATATTTGCTTTATTTCTATTTCATATTTCTGCCTTTCCACTTATTTATTAATTTTAAGTTTATTCTATCTACATATTATTAAATTATAACTTTCATATAGGTAGATATTATTATTACTAGTTTCCAATTTATTGATTTTAAGCCAACTTACACTACAAAATCTTATTACGACGTTTCGGTTCGTGGAACCATTTTCAAGTCTATCAAGTACTTGCCTATTATACTTCTTATGTCAAATACATGTGTCTTCTCATAATAACTAGTATGACCATCATAATACTGGTTATTATGAGAAGGCACATGTATTTCACATAAGAAGTATAATGGACAAGTACATGATATACTTGAAAATGGCTCGACGAACCGAAACGTCCTAATACGATTTTGTAGTGAAAACATTGGTGTAAGTTGGCTTAAAATCAATAAATTGGAAACTAAATATTATGCACCGAATTAGGAGAAAGGAATATTGAGATTATTATTATAATTCTTGTTAATAGTTTCTCATAGCTATTATTATCTTGTCTTTTCTTGGTCCTGATGAAGCCCTGAACTTTGGACCGAAACGTCATCAAAATTAATTTGTACTCTCCAATCACTTCTCTTCAATTATTCACTACAGTCAACCATAAATTCGATATAATTAACATTTTGTTTTTAGATTTATTGTATTATTATATAGAAGTTTTTTGCAACCTTTTGGAAATATTTAAGTTAAAACCTTCTCTACACTTCCTTATTCGAGGCCATGGAAGACCAATCAAAACCTAAAACTATTACCATCATAAAATTCACCACAAAAGCTCAAATTTAGGTTAATTTTTGTTAAAAGACCTTAAAATATCATTCTCCAACACTTACTAGACAAACGCTCTAAAATTTCAATTAATTACAAAAGACTTATCTATATAAATATAATAAGAACTATATGGACATACGGAATTGAGCTTTGAGGCTCCACCAAATCATCGAATTCCTATCGTATCCAGTCCTCACAAACGAAAATCCTCCTTAAAATCCTTAATGCTCCATACTTTGTCACAAATAAAACCATTCATAAAGACCTTAATGTACCATATATCGCTAATTTAGCTCGAGCGAGATATCTATCCTTTCATGATAAACTTCAGTTCCATCCAAATCCGCTTGTTTCCACTCTTGCTTCTTCCTCGATCCTTGATAATCCTCCTAGGCGTCTGAAAAGGAGATGGCCTTGTGATCTTCTTACTTAAAATTATTTAGGGAGTGCTACCACTGGGTAGCATCTCTTCAAGCCTGTACATGTCATTATTTATAATTTGCGCATATTTACTAGTTGTATTTGTATACAGCTGTAAATTTCATTAAATAAACAACAAAAAAAAATATCATTCTACCAGAATCGACTCTGCCCAGGCATCTGAAGGCATTGTCTCCTCCAGAGCCCTTGAACTCAACCCTCCAAATATTGAGGTTCCCATAGCCTGGAGTGTACCTCCGGAACCACGGCGGTTGTACAGGTACGGAGATCAACTGATTTATGGTTTGAGTCGAATCGTACCCAAAACCACGGGGCACCCTCCACACGGGAGGTCTCAGTCAATGGGCACTGTCACCACACCTGGCACTAATATACACATCGGCACTATATTCCATTTGTCATCCTCCCATTGTCGTCTCGGCCAGCGGTTATCCGCAATATCGATAGGATCGCGAGGGGAGGAAAAGAAAAAGGTCGGGAGACACTGACAGCTGGTGACGTCGGGCCAATCAAACTGTCAACCGAACAGTTAAGTCCACGATCTGATCACGCACCGCTTCATTCGAGTATAATTCCAGTTCTTATAGTCCTATCTCTTCAACTGTCTATCAGCTTATTCCTCAGGTGTTGAGAGGCTTAGGGTCCTACCTCTCTGAGATAATATGCTTTCAACATAGCGGAGGAGTAAGCTTGTACCAATCAAAAACAATCATAAGATCCAAGAGCTATCATAAGGATTTGATTGAATGGGCATTGGCGAATAGCTTTGCCTGAGGTCGGTGAATAACGACCCGTGGATACCGACTTTACCTTTATCATTTGCATTCAACACTTAACCTGTCCCCTCGAGACAATATGGCTCCCTGTCAGTTTTCGAATTCGGACGAACTATAATCAAAATTGATCGAATAATGTTTCCAAGTGAAAATATTGGCAGACAAAGTAGTCAGTTGTGAAACAGCACCACAAGAAAAAAATAAAAAATTATAAAAAAAATAGATAAAAAATTGAACATAACCAATCTTGTACATTTGTTGATTCCGTTCTATTATTTAATCATGTGATTTTTTTTTTTTGATCAACTAA